AAAGGGATCCTGAGTTGAGGAAATATAAAGCTCTGATCTATCTTCTTGGTACTACAGAGAGGCTGAGTAGGCCAGGTGGGCCAAAGTGATCTTTCCTATCAATTATCATAATACCTACCGTAGCTGGGATACCTGGAATCTATCAGGCTTTTCCAAATGAGAAAGGCAATCACTAATCAAAATGAATATGCAAAGGTTCTTATTCCCAGGATAGTAATATTCAGGCAGTCATACAATCTTTCATTGAGTTAATTTAATTATCAGACCACATTTAATTATCCAGTACAATGTAAATAAAGTGAAGAGCTGACAGCACATATTAATTATGTTCATTATAATAATTAAATGGGAAAGAATTTAGAAAGCCATGAAAATGCTGTAAAATACAGGGAAGCTTTTGATTAAAACATCATTTTAATTAGACACTGCAAACCTATAGGAAACAGATGATGGTTCAATCACAGACAGGACATTACTTTTATTATGTGGCTTGCTCTCCTGATCTGTGGTATCATGGGCCTCAGCCCTTCTAGTTAATTGACTAAGTGGTGGCAAATAAAAAAACCACCAATCCTTTATGTAAAGCAGTCACCTAATCCAACAGATTTAGGCTGCAGCAAGATTCAGGACCCCTCCAGACCTTGTAGAGAAACATGCTTTTCCCCAGTAGGAAATGAAGGATCTTCTCTTGAAAAACATGCCAGCAGATTAACATGAAACTTTCCTGAACTGAGAATCATCACTTTTCCCCCACTATCTCTGGTTTAGAGAAGTTTTCCCTGGGAACAGGGGTGGTGGGAAGGGGTACCACTGGGTCACTGGCTGTGAGGTGAGGCTATGCAAACGATCTGCTAGGATAAAAGCTCCATAGAAATGGACATTGGGGTAAGAGCTTATAGCTGCTCTTACCATAACTCCTGAGCAAATGTTCACTAAGCAAACTGCTGGGTTTGTGATGGATAGAGAGGGAATTTTAAAGTTCCATTTTAAAGGAAAGCAAAGACATACCCTTTCAGTTGTAGAAAACTTTTTAACTTCACTGGATGCATGTTGTCACCTCAGTGCCTTATGCTGTCCTGTGTATGTAGCATAACCCACAGAGCATGGCACAGATCCCCCACTTGGGCTAGGGGACACAGCAGATAAAACAACTGTGGCAGAGCAAAGCCTAGTAAGTTACCCATTAAGAGTCTGCTGTCTGTCAATGGTTCTCATTCTCCTCAGTCCATACTGGGGAAGCCAAGATATACATACTGTGCTTTAGATGACAAGCTGCCACAAGGGACAAGCAGCTTATGAAACTGTCTGGTGCTGACAAGATCTGGAGGAGAGTGAGGAGGATCTAAAAACCACAAAAGGGCAGAGAGTCCTCCCGAAAAAAGAGTGCTATCAGAAATCTGTCTATGGTTTTAGTCTCAGACTTTTCATGTCACAGGCTCAAGACATTTTCAGGCAAGAGCACCTAACTACAATCTTTCTCATCCTCTCCTTTTTCTTTTTGCCCACCATGTGAAATATATGTAACATGTAAATTAGCAGCTGAAACATTTTACCCCTACAATTCAGTGGCATTACAAATATGTGTGCGCAGACACACACACACACACACACACACACACACACACACACGCTCATCGTGTAAATGTCATTGCTTTCCAGAACTACTCTACTTTTCAACAGTTACAGATCCATAAATCTAAACAGAGAAGACTCATCTAAGATCACATAGATAAAAGCAGAGCTGAGCAAAAACCCAGGTCCTCTATTTGCTAAACTGAGGTCTGGGTTTAACTTATACTTTCCTAGAATCTTTATGGGTCTCCTAGAGTGAGATACACATATGCCAAGTCACCCCAAGCTGGCATTCGGAGGGCAGAAGCACACTGCCATCTCACATTGCTGTCCAAGATGCACATCACTGACCACCAGTGGATAGACATGTTGCACACCTGATTTTCTTTCTTTTTCTTTTCTTTCTTTCTTTTCTTTTTTCTCTTCCCTTCCTTCCTTCCTTCCTTCCCTCTTTCTTTCTTTCTTCCTTCCTTCCTTCCTTCCTTCCTTTCTTCCTTCCTTCCTTCCTTCCTTTCTTTCTTTCTTTCTTTCTTTCTTTCTTTTTGAGACAGGGTTTCTCTGTATAACAGCCCTAGCTGTCTTGGCACTCATTTCCTTACTTCATAGACCAGGCTGGCCTTGAATACACAGAGATCTGCTTGCTTCTGCTTCCTGAGTTCTGGGACTAAAAGGCCTGCACTACCACGCCCAGCCACACTGACTTTAAATGTCCTAGTGCTTTTCTTTGTTTCAGGAGACTTAACATGCCTCCGAGAGCCCACTCTCTACCTGAGGCAGGATTTAACTTTGCATGATAACTGCACCACAGTGCTGAAGGGACGACAGACAACGCATGGGCACAACAGAACCAAGATCTCTAAAGGACGAGGGTGATGCTTACAAACTACATTGCTACAGATCTTTGCTTTTTACTATGACTATTTTTTCTATCAGTTTTCAGTTTCTTTTGTGTTTTAACACATTCTATTTCCTCCTCATAAACCACTGTCTTTCAGCAACTGTCTCAGGTAGACCTGACTTCACTAGTTCTCCTCCAGAGCAGGTGATCACTTCAGTACCTTGCCCTGTATAAAGCAAGGAACCGAAGCACAAGGCCCATGTTTTTGGTTTTTTTTCTTCTACCTCTGGGTGAGCACATCTCTCAACAGTGAGCTCAAATCTTACTGCATACTTTTGTTCTTCCTGCTAAGCCTGACTGGGCCACGGCTACTGCTGCAGGCTCCTGTGCCTCCACCTCTTTCATTCATCAGCCTCCCTTCTCCTCCACTCCCATCCTAATGCTCTCTCTACCCACTTCAACTGCCCTTTTCCTTGTCTCTTCAAATGTATGTTCCCCTGATTGTCTCTGTTCACTCAGGTGAAACCAGAGACACCAAAATGTGTGCTTATCTAAAAGGAGAGCACTACTGTGTGATCTAGCATCAGCAGAAAAACTCAGAAACCCCACAGAACTCTGAATTCCATCAACTTATCATAGTGGAGGTGGTTTGTACAAAGTGCACCAAAACACAGCAGTGCGAACTGTGCTGAAAGAATGGGACTTTTGGTGTGGAATTGCACACAGCCAAACAACTCACTCACCAACTGCTCAGCTCTTTACAAGAGCAGTGGAGTGTCATGATATATAGCACAAACTACTTATATATAAAACAGGAAATTGTTAGGTAAACTGTGAGTGTCCACACAAGGTAAAGCTATTAAAAATGATACTCTGGTATAATATGAAGTACAGGAAGCAGACATGAGCACACAGGCAATGAAGCCTGCTGGTGGTGCATGCCTCAGATGCTGGGATCAGAACCAACAGAGGTTCCATTTTATTTTTTATATTTTCCATGTCCTTTTCATAAAAAATAAGGACTGCTTTGTGGTCATGAACACTGGAGCTAAAAATCATTTAGTAGGCTAACATACACAAAGGAAATAAATACAAACAGAACAGCCCCTCACTTATCTTTTCCTGAGTAGTTTTTTTTTTTTTAATTTATTTTATTTCATGTGCATTGGTGTTTTGCCTGCATTTATGTCTGTGTGAGGGTGTTGGGTCCCTTGGAACTGGAGTCACAGACAATTGTGAGTCTCCATGTGGGTACTGGGAATTGAACTCGGGTCCTCTAGAAGAGCAGTCAGTGCTCTTGACCGCTATCTCTCCAGCCCTTCCTGAGTAGTTTTTAAGAGTTTTGTCAACCTACTGTGCCAGAACCTTAGGAAGGGCAAAAACCTGGCTGTTTGCAAGGGAAGGAGCTTCCTGGTTGGTTATTTCTACATCGGGAGGCAACAAATAATTACCTCCTGGCAACAGGATCTGGGCAAAGGAAACTTTTTTATTTTGTATATCTTCTACATTTTAACCACAAGAATGTTTTTTCTAAATTTGACTTTCCATTTCTTATCTTTCTTACAGAGACTGTGCTGAAGGTCCATTTTATTCCCATGCTTACTAAGGACCAAATGTCCCTCTGAATCTATGAGGCTGTGATTGTGGCCTTCTGGGACTGCCTTGTTCTTTCTATCCTTCTCTCCTCATTGGACATGAAGTGGCAGCTCTCAGTGTGCAACTTCTTGCCTTATATGTGTCTCTGACAGCATACTCATCTCTTCTTTTGCCTTCCACTAGTGTGCTCTAGGCTGGTAACTCTAATGGGCACATTTGTTTCAGATTTAAATAAAATATTAAAATAAAAATCAGAGAGCTTAGAGTGAAAGCTAGTGGGGCTGTTCAGGTCTTTTTCTCAGCTATAATCTATACAATCACATGTATGTCTAAATAAAACTATATAAATGAATAGGTGGTTAAGAAATAGTTTGATATGTTATGCCATAACTTATTTAAAAAATAAAGTGGAATGAAGAAGAAGGTGCCATATTATCTATCATCTTCCAATTTGTAACAAATGAAATTCTACCTTCATAAAGCAGGATAATGCATTCATAGAACCTTTACTCAGAAACCAAATAAAGCAGCCAAAAGAAAATTATGCCCCTCACTCAAGCAGGAGAAGCCAGAACCTTGAGCACTCTCTGGTTCTGCCCCAAACCATCTGGAAGCCTCTGATGGCAGAGGAAGGCCAAGGACAGTTTTATATGTTTTGCTAAGTGACTTGAGCCAAGAGATGCAGACTCTTCCTTATCACTGTGAGGGTATCAGAGTTCATGCAGTGTGGGAGTGGAAGCTGACTGTACAGGATGAATGGATGCGTCTGTATAAAAGATTTTTACCTTTATAGCTCTAAGAGGAGGCCCTTGTGCTATCTGGTGCAGATCAAATATCTTTGGAGAGATAATGCCATCAGCATATCCAGGGAACCTGGTTAAGGGCCTTTACACAGGACAGATGGGTTCCAGCAGGCTAGCCTGCCTTTTCTCACTCCAATACCTCACACCATCAGTGCTGGAAGTAATCTAAGGTGCTTTCCAGAGCCTCTTACCTGGTTATCTGGGTGGTTGACAGTGAAGTAGCCCACACAGACGATGACCTCATGAAGGAGGCTTTCACAGGAGACTTGGCTGCAGTGGCCTAGCAGGGAACTAGCCATGTGACGGAATGCAAGGGACAAGCCCTCTGCCCCTACAATAGACTGACAGACAAGGAACAGTTAGAACTCCCAGTCCAGGGAGAGCCAGGGCTGCACATCATATAGTAAGACAAGGCTTGTACACTCTCTGTTATGTAGCTAGAGGATCATGACATCTCTTTCTTGTTTTGTTTTAAACATTTATAAATAGCATGTATTTAACAACAGAGTTCCTGTTCCTAGGAAAGTAACGAAAGAGACTAATGGTACAAGTTACAGATGTTTTTAACTTTCAAATAGCCTAGTTGTCAGTGTTCATAAGGAAGTTTGCTTAAGCCTGGAGCTTTATTTTTTAAAGTTTCTATATTATTTTTTATTGAAAAATTTTTTCACACACTATGTTCTTTTTCCCTTTCCAAACTCTCTCAGAATCTTCCCACTCATACCCTTTCTCTTTTAAAAACAACCCCAAAATAAACAAGAGACACATACAGCCCCCACAAAGAAAACCAAAATATACAATATACAAGCAAGACAAAAAAAATGCCCACATGAAGCATATAAGACAGGAAATATCTACAAAATTATCATGAACCTGAGATATTTCTATAGTACTATGGATAGCAATCAGTTCAGGGGTTCTTAATCTAATAAATGGTCAAAACAAATGTAATGTTTAATCTGAAGGGCACAAAACAACATCAAGACACTGTCTACCTAAAGCAGTTATTTATCTCATACTTAACTTATGTTTTGTTGTTAGACAAGAATTCTTATTGTAGGAAATATGTAGAAGTGTAAAAATACTAAAATTTGTCTGTGAATGTGTCATGTAAGCTAATTTACAACCCTTTTTCTGAAGGAAAATATTTTCTTATACATAGCCAAGACATTTAGTGTTTTTTATACCTAGGGCCTCACTCACGCTAAGGCACTGACCACTGACTGGACTATGTTCCCCTCCTTTGTTCATAGAGATAAATACCTATTTCTAGTTATTTACTTATGTTCAATCAGAAAAGATACCTAGATAAGAATTAATTGTTATTCAAATAAATAATGCTTTAAAACAAAGGCTACCAAAAGAATGTGAAAAACCAAACCAAAACAAAAAATATTCCCCCAAAACTAAGGAGCCCTTGAGCTATGATGCTTCTGGGATCTTTTCTCCAAACTGGCTATGGGCTGTCAGTGGTGGGCGACTCAGGAGGAGAGTCTGAGTCTGCCTGTGCAGCCTGGAGCTTCTATTTAATAAACATGTCAAGCAGACAGAGCGACAGGAGGGCAAAGGGGAGAGGCGAAGCGCACAGAATACACTTGCAGCCCACACTGGAATGAAGCACTGCCGCCGGCCTGTGGGAAAGACGCTGTTTTAAACTCATCTCTTTATTTGAGGTCTTGCTGGGTTTGAAAGCAGGTCAGATGGCTGTAGCTTGGAAATTTCAGCAAAACCACTGTTTAAATTGGGTGAAACACAGCTCTTCAGGTGGACAATGCTGTGATACGATGACACTGGCTTCAAGAGTGTCTTCTGTCACTGTTCTACTGCCCCAAGACAACCCCCACATTAAATATTTTTCAAACCCCAAAGACACTTCAGGAGGGCTTTGCTCCTTTAAATCAAGTCCTGACACCTTCTCAGTTCAGCCCTTATTTAATTAGTTGCGTCCAGCATGCTGTGACCTAGTGCCCTCTGTTGAACCTTCCCTGATAAGAGCAGGTCAAGGGTCATGTGTGTTTGAATATAAAAATCAAACCAATTTTTCAAGGAAACTATATTTCCTTTCTAGCCAGAATTAATTGCCAAGTCAGTACATTGATTTGTTTCTTGAGACCACCTTCAATTGTTAAAAACTGTGACTGCAAATGCAATATATACTACCACTGACCTCTAGGCCATCTGTGCCAATATGACTTCAGAATGGATTCCTACTCTTTGCTGAGGGGGGAATATTTTAGCAGCCTTATTGGTATATGATGAAAACGTTCTAATGGACAGCCCTTTTGTTGTTATGGCATGACAGGTTTTCACACAAAGTAGGCACATACATGCGTGGCTCTGAAGAAAGGCAGAGAAGCATGAATGCTACATTTGGCACTTTGTGATTCAACATCTCCCAGGAGGCTGAGTAAACACTTTGTTTTCATAAGCCACACAATAAGGAACTTAGCAACAGCATCCACAGAAATGCCCAGCAAGTGGGTTTCTGATGGAAGGCCCAGACTCAGAGGGTGATACCCCAGAGAGGTAGCACATGCTGGCTAGCACACCACCATAACACAATCTTGTTTAATCTTCTGTTTGTGAGGTGGATGTTTCCAATTTTCTTTATATGGGAGTACTGAATCTTAAATGCTCAGATGGCTTGTCCAAGGCCATACAATTTATGGTGTTGGGGCTGCATAGTGGAGCCAGCCTGACTCTGGGCCCAGGGGCCTGATGAGCATGAGTCTTTGGCACTCTGAATTGCTGTGATACGTGGAGGTGTGAGGAGGAACCAACATCCTCCTTACATCATCTTGTCTCACTCTTATGCAGTAGCTGAAGCCATCTGCCTCGTTTCGGTTTTCTTTAGTTCCTTCTAGCCCTTTACGGTCATCCTCGAGTATTTTCAAGTCAGATCCATACTGAGATGTACCCTTCCCTTCACTCACGGGAAAGCTCTTTCCATACCCTTCATGAAATCTTTGCTTTGACATGGAGTTGTTTCTCTGAGCTAGAACTTGAGCTTCACTTCTATCATGAAATAGTATTTTCTCCCAAAACTCAATCATTGCTACACAGTGTAAACCCTTGTATGTTTATCTGAGCATTGCCTACTTGACCAAGTGGTGTCTATGTGGACAGATGTGTCATCTAGCTTGCTAAAAAGTGGCGCAGTTCATAAATGCCCTCAAATATTTCACCATTCTCTTACTAAAGGTGGGACCTATGTCAACCTGGGAGGTTTGTGAGTGATTTAACCAGTAGTACATACTACACACACACACACACACACACACACACACACACACACACACACACACACACACACATTTTATATACATTTCTGTTGCTGTTGTTTTTTAAGACAGGGTCTCATGTAGCCTGGGATAGCCTCTATATCATTATGTAGTTGAGGTCTTGAATTTCTGTCTTCTTGCTTCCTTTCCTTGCCCCCTCTCTCCCTCTCTCCCGGCACAGAACATGGAAGGCTTTACAATTATTAAAAAATACATATTAATCTATGTGTATGTGTGAGTGCCTGCAATACATGTATACATGTGTAGCACACACATGCTTGGTGCCTGCAGAAACCAGAAGAGGCCATGTGATCTCCTGGAATTGAACTTGTAGATGGTTCTCAGCTTCATGTGGGTACAGAGAACTGAGCCTGAGTCCTCTGCAGGAACAGCCAGCAATCGTAAGTGCTGAGCATTTTTCCATCCCCTAACAATATAGTATAGGCTGTCCTCAATTTGTAGTAGTCTTCTTGCCTCTGTTTCCAAGTACTAGGTGGAGTGCGCTTGATAGATAGCTACATGATTTCTGAAAGTACATCATGAAAAGCCATGCAGCTGCAGTCTGGTTCTTTTGGAACACTTGCTTTCCAGAAGTGTCCTCTTAGGACTTTCTCCTCAGGACTCTGACATCATCATCTTTTGAGAAGCCTGTATCACATAGATAAACAGTATGTGGGGGGTTGGGGATTTAGCTCAGTGGTAGAGCGCTTGCCTAGCAAGCTCAAGGCCCTGGGTTCGGTCCTCAGCTCTGGAGGAAAAAAAAAAAAAAAAAAAAAAGAAAAAAAAAAAAAGACAAGATAAACAGTATGTGGGTATATATAAGCTATATATAGGGCTCTGAGGTGGCTAGTCCTTAAGCATAGTCTTTGAGGTATTGCTAGCATCAACCATGAGAGAAGGAGCCTCTGGATAATTTCAGTTCCTAGCTCAATGAGATACGCTTATCCTCCTTCCCTTTCCCTCCTTTAGCATTATGATTCTCTTGGTTGAAGCCCTGTCATCACAGAGTAGAGCCAAGCTATCCTCATGAACTAGGAAGAACCCTATATGAATCATAATAAAACTGGTCGCATTGCTATTGTTTACTTCATTAAGTTCAAGTGTTTGCTTTTATATGCATAAAAATAACTGGATTAAATATATACTTTTTCACAATCTATGGCAACAAGGAAATAATTTTATGTGGACCCAACTGATGGGAATACTACTGGACTTTCTATTCTGAGGCCCTCTGATAAAAAATGACATATGTAACCAGAAGTAGGAACTACTGACACACTTGCAGGTGTGGTATAAACTACTACAACACTTTAGATTATAGTTAACAGCAAAGACTACTTCAACTGCTTTGGAAGCAGATGTACACTAATCCTACAGGAAGGATTTCTGCTTTTGTGATGGATAAAGTTACTCTACAAAGTACAAGCTCCAATGATACAACTCACTAACTTCCTTTCTGAACAGAGTCCTAGGAGAACATTAATTAACTGAACACATGTAAAAGTTACAAAACAGAAATGTTTCTTCCAGCTCAGGGTAGCAGAGTCCCTGTCTTCACACATTGTATCTCTACAGCCCTTTTCCCTCTCAACAAGTAATTCATCTAAATTATGGGTTCATCACCTGCCAAGTTTGTTCCTTTTTTAATGAAATCACTTGACAGTTAATAAATGGACAGGGTAAGTCTTTTCCTTGGGGCTTGCTCTGTTGCACAGGTTCAGTGTTTTTTGAAAATTAAATTTCTCACTTGAAAAAAGTGTTCTTAAGCTGACAACATGGTTTTATAGCAAAAAGCCATTTTTCTTTCTTTAGCTATAAAAACTTAATTTATAGCAGATTGTACAATTATGTATAAATGACCTTTACATTTATACATAAATGACCTTTGGATACAAATCAGTTAGATCACCCATAGAAAGTTATATCAATCAAAATAATCAATTTTGGTTCTATTTCTATAAGAAACTATTCATTTCCTTAATATTTAAAAGTTGATGGGATCACAATACCTTTATCTAAAGAATTTAAGGCAGAAGATTTATAAGTGGCAGTGTGGCACAGATTACATTTAAGGAGTGGAGAGTCATGGGTAACTAGTCATGTTTCAGCTAAATAGATTCTTAGGTAAATTATTTATTTACCAGCTTCTCCATCTGTAAAATGGGTATAATAACATTTTGCACAATATCTATGATAATAAATGGGAAAGCACATGTGGAACATTTAAACAGGATACCAGAAATCAGTAGCTTAATGAATGGGATATTTGCTTTATAATTCTATTTACTATAACCTCAGACCTTGAATCCCAGAGAAGAACCTCCCATTATATATATATTAAAAGATTAACTTTTTGTAGACTGGAGAGATGGCTCAGGAGATGGAAACATCAGTTGTTCTTCTAGAGGACCCAGGTTTAATTCCTAGCACCCACATGGTGGTTAGCAACTGCCTATAACTCCAGTTCCAGGAGGGATTTGATGCCATCTTCTGTCTTCTGCTGGTACTAGGCATATATGTAGTGTACAGATACACATGCATGGAAAACATATAAATAAAAATAAGTAAAGCTTAAAAATGGCTTTTACAAAGATTAACTTTGGGGGGCTGAGGAGATGGCTTAGTGGGTAAAGTGCTTGCTGTGGAGATATGAGAATCTAAGTTCAGGTTTCCAGCACCCATGTAAAAGCCTGGCATGCCAATGAGTGTCTATATCCCTAGTGCTGGGAGTGCAGGGAGACAGGAGGATTCTGGGGGTTTGCTGGCCACCAAGTCCACCATAAATTGTGAGCTCCATAAAATGGTACAGTCAGGCATGGTGGCACATACCTTTAGTCCCAGTACTCTGGAGGGAGAGGCAGGTAGAGCTCTGTTAATTCGAGGCCAACTTGTCTATGTAGGAGTCCCAGTCAGGACTATATATTGAGACCTCTTAAAAAAAAAAAAAGATGGCAAGCAATAGAGGAGGATACCCAGCATCCACCTCTACAGGCATATGCAAACACACCTCTCTCTCTCTCTCTCTCTCTCTCTCTCTCTCTCTCTCTCACACACACACACACACACACACACACACACACACACACACTTTTTTGTTGGTTAACACCAACCTGAACCAAGGTTTAGTACCTGAAAAGCAGGCAAATCAAGAACTGCAAAACTGTTGAAGAAACGTAAACTCTGAACGGCTACTTGGATGGTGTTCTGGGTGTAATTCTCCTTGGGGCTGGTAGTGCTGGGGTCTGAGATGGTGCCATGGAAGAGGATACAGTAGAGCATGTGCAGAACTCCAGCCAAGTCTGTGGCCTGAAGAGCAGCTGTCAGCCCTGTGGGATCCTGGTGATTATTGTCAAATATGCTGTAGGACCTGACAAAGAAACACAAAACTCTTTGAGAAAATCTTGTTAGTATTTTTATAGGTTAAATGGAACACAACAAGCAGACCATTAAAAGCAAACAATCTGAGTGTGTAATGAGGTAACAAGAAACCTCTAGAAATAAATGTAGCCCTTCCCATTAAGTGTGTGTGTGTGGATTCCCTTTCTTTCTCTTGGGAGAGCAGCCTGCTGCCACAGTGGTAACTGTGCACCATGCAGTTGGTGCTGAGGCTGCTACTGCATTCTGACACTTGGCAGCCTGGGATATCCCAACTATGTCCAGTGCCTACATCTGGGCAAACTGCACACTGTCTGTGAGAGATTTCTGGACTCAGATCCAAAACTCTTTAGTTTCCTGTTCTGGATCTACAAAGCAGATCTTCTTGAGGAAAGCAACTACCAGGAAAACACAAGCCCTCAAAAACCTGCAGAATGTTCATACACAGAAGGGAGATGCTTCAACTGCTTTGTAGGCCCTGTTCCAGAATAAAAAAGTGTTACTGGAATACGTTGTGGAGGCTATGGTCCCCAAAACAATCCGATTAGTCTACATAAATCACCGTGAAGTTAGCTTAGTCACTGAGGTATGTAGCTTTATTGATGAGACAGAAAAGGCAATACAGTGGTAAATGAATTCTTAAAATCAACAGTGAGACAGCAAAGTTTTGCTATATCTATCTCACTCCTGAACTAAGGCATACAAAGCACATAAGGACCACAGCATATAACCAGAGCATATACAGCTGCCAAGTAGTCATTCACCTCCACATTCCCAGCTTCCAGCTAGAAACAACAGATTACTCTCTGAGGAAGCAGCCCTCCCTACCTCAATGCTAGAGTACTTAATGGAGCCCTTCCTTATTTATTCTGGCACAAAGGTGACTAGGCCTAAGCTTAAACTATGCATTTTATTTCCCTAGCTGTTTAGCATACACCACATTCAGAGCTAGCAGGCTGCAGAGAGGTTTTGTTACTATACTTGGAAAGAATTCTCCCTTTTCCATTTACTGGGTCTGAGAAGATGCGAGTTGAAAGTGTGATAGACAGGCTCTAACTATAGCAGGGATAAATACTAATGTTCCTCAGTGCTGTACCAAGTGGGTCAGTTACTGTGTTTTTCATGGGACTTTTTTTGTTTATTTTTTGTTTTTTAATCTGGGAAGTTGTAAGGCTCTGCTCAGTGTCTTTCTTTAATACTATATCTCCTGTACAGCTCTCAGCAGAAGTGCCTATGCAACTCTATGACCAAGTTCTCAACATGAACAGGTTTTCCTCCATCATTTGTCTACCCTTCAAGCTGGAATGTAGGAGGGAAAGAGGCATTAAAGATCTATGCTTATCTCATTATCTTGCCTGAAACATTCAGAAGATATCAGTAATTAAGTAAGAACTGTGAGGGCTGGCTGGTGAGTTTCTAGTACCTGACCTAATTCATTTTTATTTGTTAGTTGCATTGAAGTGGAGTTTTATTGATAACCTTAGTCAGCATTTATGTCTCAGATATATCCTTGTAATTCTTGTATTCTTCTCATGGAATATTATTACCTCATGTACATAGCAGGGTCTTCTCAGTTGGTAGGGCTGGTACTATCCTCGTGCACACTCAGTGTGTACTGCATAACAACTACAACCTAATGCAGATCCTAAGTAGCAGAGGCAGGGGCATGTCACAGGCCTTATTACTTATGCTCTGCCCAAGGACCAAAAACATCTATACAGAACTGCGAAACTTACTGTTTCTCTGCCTTTTCTTTAGTCAGAATTTGCAATTAACTGAATATCGTTAAATATAATGCAGTTTTGTATCATCATACAGAGATCTTTTATATATGCTAATAAAGTTCAAGTTTTGAAAAGGACTTTTATTTGGTTATAGGCACATTTGGAATACTTTCTACAAATTTTTTTAAAAGTGATTATCAGTTGGTCTTTACTCCATGCCATTAAAGTAAAAAGAATTAGGAGTCAGACCTTAACTATTGACATGAGAAGAGATTAATTTGTCTGTAGTTATTATATAGGTTCTGAAAAGAGACCCATATTTGGAACAGTTGATTGCCTGTTCAAACAGGCTAAATCAGAAAGCAGTTCTTCCTAAAATTAATCAGCTTTCAGAACCTGAGGATGTGTGATACTCTTGCTGGTGACAGGAGTTTGACCAATCTGAATCTGAGTGCTGATTTCCCCTTCCTGAGCCTGCTGCTTTAAACAAATCATTAGCATATTCTAATGCAGATATTCAGAAATACAGCTTCATTGCTAAGAACACTGGCATAAACTTTCTTAGCAATTACTAAATGACATGAATTCTCTATTTTTTTCTTCCAAAGAATAAATGCAGCCAAACAAACAAACAAACAAACCAAAAACAAAACAAAACTCAAAAAGCTTCGAGAGAAGGTCACCAGGAGTGCTTCTCCTACAGCACTGTGGGGACAAGGGCTGACCTTACAGATAATAAAACAACACAGTCTTTGGAAATATTCTTCTAAGGAAATAAAAGTGTTTGTTGAGGAAAATCAACCAAGCATTCAGGGACTAAGATGTGGAAACAGTTAAAAAAATACATATAATATTGCTTTGAGGAAAAATATATTTCCCTTAAAGTGAGCTCATGGAATAAAAAAAGGCTGTGAGGGCTTGTGTGGCTCTTGGCTTTCATGGACCAATGTAGAAACACTGGAAAATATTTACTTTCATTTTTTTCAATCAATCAATCAATCAATCAATCAATCAATCAATCAATCAACCAACCAATCAATCAACTAACCAACCAATCAATCAACTAACTTATTTGTGAGTGCATGTGGATGTTTATATGTGTCTGCGTTCTACAGCACACATGTGGAGATCAGAGGATAACTTGTGGAGTTGGTTTTCTTCTATCATGAGAGTCCCAGACATCAGGCTCAGGTCAGGCTTGGAAGCAAGTGCCTTTACCTGCTGAGCAATCTCTCTGGTTCAATGTTTTATTCTTTCTGATTTAGCCTGAAACACAGACCTTTAGCCCATCAGCAGTCTCTTGGCTCCTGTTGAGTCTTAACTCTGAGTTATAATCTCTTTAATCCCATGTGTTTATAATAAAAGACTTTATGCATATCAGACAAAAATACAGTATGCTATTAAGAAAAAAAGGACATGGTTGGGGGTGGGGAGATAGGAACGTGGGGATATATTTGGTAGGAGTTGAGATTTAGAGTAGGGGCAAATATGATAAAATACATCGTAAGCAATTCTTAAAAATTAATAAAAATGTTTTAAAAATATACAAAAGATACTAAAAATCAGATATGAAGTTTTATATAGCACACTTTAAAATTTAAAAACTCTTCAATTTTTTAAAGATATTTTTTATTTGGATCCCAGGACTAGATATTTCAGTGAAATATTTATTTGTATTCATAAAACTAGATTTGAATGAGAATAAGTATGACTGGGGTATTGTTACTGCTATAAAGCATATACCACCTGAAATTCAACACTGCTTTTTTATTTTTTGTTTTGTTTTTGTTTTTTTCAAGACAAGATTTCTCTATTTAACAGCCCTGACTGTTCTGGAACCTACTTTGTAGACAAGGCTGGCCTAGAACTCACAGAGATCCACCCGCCTCTGCCTCCCTCCTGAATGCTGGGATTAAAGGCATGCACCACTGTGCCAGGCCCAACACTGCTTTATAGGAGTGTACAGTCAGGCAAAAAAGCAGTTTACACGGTCAAGAATCATAGGCCATCTATTACATAAGTGGCCTCAACTAGCCTACAACAGCAGTGTGAGAAGGTGCAGTTTCTAGACTCTGAAACGTCTTCCCTCCCATTTGTTCCTAGGTCTTTTGTGTTCATCTTCCTGGTTTACAGCATTCATGCATCTTTCCCATAAGGCTGATGACCATCTAGACTATTCTCAAGGCTTATGGGATTTTCCTTCATTCATCCTTTACTTTCAGAATCTCTGAGGCATCTTGTAAAAGTTCCATTTCAGCCCTGAAACCATAAGACCATACTTAACAGCCTGCATAGTGTTGGTGCAGAGTGGATTAAGATTGTGTCTGCCCTGGTGAGAACTTTACTGCACAAGAGGAAGTGAATTATTTTTTAGCAGAATTCCAGCTTTTGGCTCTTAGATCTTGTGATATTCCAAGAAAGGCAATACTCATCTAGTGACATCATCATTCACCAGGCCTTGTGTGAGCACAAAACGAATGATGTTCTCTCGGGTACTCTGTTCAAAAGCCAAAGTACCTGTGCTCCAACACAATGAACAATGAGGACTAAAAGGCAAGGAAGACTGGCCCCTAAACTGGAGGAGGCTGCAGTACAGTAATGGTGGGCCTGTCAGCTCCCTATTTCTGGTAGAACAACCTGTCACAACCTAGTGGCTGCAAAGAATATAAATGTAGTATTTTATAGTTCTGGGGGTCGTGCTAAAGTCAGAGTGCTGTACAGTTCCCTCAGGGGCTGCAGGGCAGAGGGGGTGCTTCCAGACCTTTCCCAGACTGCATAGCACACTCAGACCTCTTCAGGGCCCACAGAACAGTATCTTTACATCTTTTGAGCACACATGTCCATGTTTAGTGCTTTCTGGTGTAGAGTCCTTGCTTGGGGGATTTGAGCTTCTTCATGTGGTAGCAGGGCTCTGACTAAGCCCAGGAAGTGAAGGGGTGAGGAACAACAGGCTCAGCACTGTCCTGGAGAAATGAGGCGACTAGAGGGAAGGGGAAGCCAATCAGTGACTGATTGGCACCAGCTTCAGATCTTGGAAGGGCACCAGGGATGTTGTGCAACACTGCCTCTCATCTGAGACACTTGGACCTCCCTAGTTTTAATTTTTTTTTATACTAAAAACAGCAAAGGGTCCTAGTTTGGGCTCTGAACTTTCTGATTTCCAGTTGAACCACAGAGGATCTGCCATAGCTTCTTCTGCCTTGCCAAATAAAAGATGAGTAACTGTGGAGAAAACTGTTTAAGGGGGCTCTATGGTAACCACAACTAT